AATAATGCTGTATTTCTCTGTTGTGTGTCTTTAACTCTATTATCTTGTACTTAACTCCATTCATCAACTGACTGTTTTTCTGGGTTTAAATTTATTTTTCTCTTTTTTTACATACCAACACCTTCCATTTGCATCCAAAAGCATTCTTAGGTTTTTCTATTGGGATCTTCACAACTGTATGTAGTTTTGCCATAATTCTTTGAATTTTTTACAATATTTGAATTGAGATTCAACTTTATTATTTCATTTATTTGCATATAGCATTCTGCTTTTCTGTTACAGAACTTAACAAAATCATCCAAGCACACAAATAATTAATACATTATTTTAATTGTTGAAAGAGCTAAATACAACTTTATGTAAAAATCAATAAATCATGTGAAACGTTTGTGAATTCCCTACACTGTATTCTATGTCTAATACCACTTTGGGATAATGGGAGTTATAAAAAATGTATAAGACATAATTCACAGATCTATAGCACCTACTGAGTTATTAGGGAGAAGAAAAGCATACATTTTCTATATGAATAAGAGAGAAGAGCATGGAATTCAATTAAACCTGTGTGCGTGTGTATGTAATTGCACTCAAAACTAATTCAATAAGAGATTATTAAATTTTTTGGAGTATAATATGATGCATTAATCTGTATCAATTTCAAATATGTGAATGTTCCCACCTTACCAGAAAGAAAAGAACTTCAGCTGTTTGGTCATTAGCACATTTGAATACTTGTCTGAGTAGCAAATATGTGATGGTAACCATTTCTTTTGTTCTTGCAATTGCATTTAATAGCTGCATCTTGGGTTTATCTCAAGGTCTTTGATATTTAAATAAGATATACTTTTAAAAAATGTGTCAGAATATAATTTTTACATTTATAAAAAGAGTATAATTTTCACATTTTATCAATGTGAAATCAGAGGCATCTACTGAACGATTGAGAGGACCTGAAGCCTTATGATTTGTTCCAGTCTCAGGAGACAAGAAAGTATGCCAATGAGGAAACTATGGACACTGGAGATTCACATCTGCACAATGAGCTGCAGCCCGTGTCTCCAGCGAAAAGGAACTATATGTAAAAAGGACTTACTGTTGGGTAAAAAGGGACTTACCAAACGGTAAGTCCTTTAACAATCATGAAATCCTGGTTGCCTGCACTAGATGCTGTGCTTACTTTGGACTCTGCTTGGTTGTGAGTATGTTTAGGAAATAGTAGGGTAAGTTTCTTTTACACTACTCTTACTTCCTGTTACCTCCTTGCACTAGAATAATCTTACTGCCTGTATGATCTTAGCATTGCTTCTCAACAGCCAGAAAACAATTTCTTAAATTGTAGTTTGTTTATTTTTCAATGGTCTTCTCATTTCATGGAAATGGGTGATATTTACATAATACCTATTACCAATATTTTCATGTGTGTGTATGTTTATGGTATACAGTAATTTAGAGTTACTTGTGTAATTATGGGAAACTCTTTGAATTGCAATGCATGCTAACTATATGACAAGGAAAGAACGTCTTCTTATACATAATAATCTTTGGAAATCAGACGTAATTTTCTTTTATGATATCAATATAACATTGTAAGAATTATTTTGTTTTCCCTGATCTTTTTACTACATCTCCTGTTTAACAAAACCAGGACATGCACACAGACACTTTATTCCCAGAGCCCAGAACTTTTATTTTTTTTACTATAACAAATTGTTAATTCTCTCCATTACAATTTTAGAGTGCCTGCATAAAATAGTCTTCAAAAAGATCATTTTTTAATGGTATGTTCTTACAATTTTGCTACTGTGGTTTGCCAAATTTTCATTTCTTTTGCATATTTGACTTTTTTCCCTTTTTATCTTATAAACAGTTTTTATACATAAAACAGTGATTACTGTTTTTTAAAAGTATAAGTGCATGTATATTCTTAATGTATATCATGAATTTACATATGTAATATGTTTCATATAGCATTTAATCAGTTAAATACTTGTTTCTATAATTACATGAACAGTACATGAAATATATTTACATACATTTATTATAAATTTATAAATATTATATCATCATAATTATATTTTATGGGACAACCTCATTGAGAATACACAGTGACTTATTTCAGGTTTGGTTAACAAAATTACAGTACAGAGTTTTCTTTTGAAAATTCTTAACTCATTTAATAGGTATTTGGTTGGATTCCCTTTTTAATATAATAAAAAATACTTTTAACTTTGTGATTTCTGTCACCAACCTTATCTCCAATTGTCTTATTGATCAATAATGATTGCATATTTTCAAATGTTTCTTTGGAGTCATGAATTAAAAATAAATTACTATGAAGTGATCTCACATTTTTAAACAAAGATCCGGATTTTTTCATGGCACTTATTAGATCATCTCCAAATGTGTAACCATTCAAGTTCAAGATTTTGGCATCTTATAATCAAATACCAAATACCAACCCAATTTGTATATTTCCCAATGTAATATATCTAATTTTTTTTAATTTTTGCCAAACACATTCTCTTATGTCTCCTACATCTTGGAAAATAACATCTTCATTGAAAAAACACAGACACAAACACACACACACAACCTTAGAGTAATATTTTATTTCATGTTCAACTCTCCATCTTTTTGGTTCCTACCTCAAAATGGTTACTGAATGGAGTCACTTCTTATAGTTTTTCCTACTGCCACCTGGATGTAAGGCATGGTCATCTCTCTCATGGATAATTGAAATAGCCTCCTAAGGCTGGGCGTGGTGGCTTATGCCTGTAATCCAAGCTCTTTGGAGGCCAAGGCAGGTGGATCACCTGGGGTCGGAAGTTCAAGACCAGCCTGACCAACATGATGAAACCACGTCTTTAAAGAAAAAAAAGAGAAAGAAATAGCCTCCTAAATAGCTTCCCTAATTCTGCTCTTGCTGAGATTTATTCAGATTGTACAAAAACATAAGTCAAATACGTGGATCCTATTACATGCTTAAACACTATATTATAGAGTATATGTGCAAAACAGCTTCACATCTCACTGAGAAAGCATCCAAACCTCAAACAAGGCAAGGTATGATAATTACAGCATCTCTTATTCCCCACTGACCACTCTCCATCTTGTTCTCTGCAGTTCAGTCAATTTCCTGAAGTTTCTTATTCAACACGATCTCACCTCGGGATTTTGAACTTGCTGTGCCATCTTTCTAGAAAAGTCTTTCTGTAGACAGCCACATACTGAGTTAAACCACTTACATCAGGTTTCTGTTCAGATTCCCCAGTGACATTCAAATCCTAATCCTACACCTGTGAATGTTACCTTGTATCACAGAAAATACTTTTCCCAGAGATGAGTCAGTCAAGGATTTTGAGGAAGGGAGATTACCCTGGATTGTCTGGGTAAATACTAAATGTGAGAGGGAGGCAAAGGGAGATTTTCCTGCAGAAGAAGAAAGCAGCGCAATGACTGATGAAAATGCTATGCTGCTGTCTTTGATAACAGAAGGGACCAAAATAACACTGTTCATGAAGCTTGAAAAGGCAGTAAAACAGAGTCTCTCCTATAGCCTTCAGAAGAAGTGTGGCCCCACATACAACTTGAGATTGACTAAACAAACTGATTTCTGGCTTCTGACTTCCAAACTGTAAGATAATAAATCACTGTTTTAAGCCTCTGATTTGAGAGCAACTTGTTACAGCGGCAATAGGAAACATATACACTATGAAATAGAGTACCTACTATCTCTTTCTATTCACCTTTGCTTATTTATTTTTCTTCATAGTTCTTTACATTTTATACAGTATATCAATACATGTCTATTTTCTCAACTGAATGTGAGCTCCTTGAAAGCATGATATTTGTCTTTTTCACTGTTCAGTCTCTAGCAAATATAATATTTCTTGGCATAGAACAGAAATACGTATTTATTGAATGCATGAATGTATATGTGAATGAATTGATTTGTTGATGTTTCATTATAAATGCTATTGAATAGGCTGGGCATGGTGGCATGTGCCTGGTAAATCCAGCACTTCGGGAGGCTGAGGTAGATAGATCACGAAGTCAGGAGTTTGAGACCAGCCTGGCCAGCATAGTGAAACCTTGTCTCTACTAAAAATACAAAAATTAGCCAGGCATGGTGGCACATGCCCGTAGTACCAGCTACTTGGGAGACTGAGGCAGGTGAATTGCTTGAACCCGAGAGGCAGAGATTTCAATGAGTCGAGTTCACACCACTGCACTCCAACCTAGATGACAGTGCGAGACTTTGTCTCAAAAAAATAATAATAAATGTTATTGAATTAGTAACATATTATGTCAACAACATGTAAAATTAAGTGGCAGTCTACTATTCTGCAAAGAAGAAACATCCAATAGATACAGTTTTGATGCCTCAAAATACACCTCGACTCTTTACAATCGGGGGTTCAGGTTTGCTTTGATGCTGATACATCAAAGTTACACAAAGATGAAAAAGAAAGGGTTGTAGAGTTAAATAACACAGCTAATTTCGATCAGCCTTAATACTAAATAGCAAATAAATGATCTGTCTTTTTCTCCCAACTCAATTCTACTGGAGGGCTCAATCAATTGATCTTTCAAGTTGGCAATCTGGGCAGAAGGTGAGGCAATAAGATGTCTAAGGTCGAGATTTGGAAAGAAATGGGGTTGTATATGATGAAACTCATTTTCATGAGCTTAAATGAGTGTAAAATAATAGGGACAGGGTAGTCACAGAAAAAGGAAGATTATTTTGTCACTGGATGCTCCTGTTTGTAGCCCACGTTAGCAGAAGGCTTACATATGTCATAGAATGAATGGACATTCGACTGATTCTACTTGAGATTTGGTACCAGTTACAACTGGATTTAAATGTTAATTCTACCCTCAATAGTTGTGTAATATAAGAGTTTTCCTACCCCCCTCCTACTTTTTATGATGTGAAAACTAAAAACCATGTGATAAAACATTCTCTAGTACCAAAAATTTGAATCATTATATATAGATTGTCTAACACATATATGAGCCACTTCTAAAGTAAATGTCCTTTGTTTATTTAACTATAGGGTAGCCTTAAATGTCCCATGCTGTTCTGGACACCGGATCATGAAGGAACCACTTCTTTTCCATCAGAGTAATATCTTGTTCTGCTACTAAGGAACTATATATACCTGAATTAAAATGAGAGTCTGGAATCATACAGGTGTGAAGGAATTCCTCCTGGTAGGGTTAACTGAAAATCCTAATTTGCGGATCCCACTCTTTTTGCTTTTCACTCTTATTTATTTTATCACTTTGGTGGGTAATTTGGGCATAATTATCTTGATCTGGTTAAATGCCCAACTTCGTACTCCAATGTATTTCTTCCTTGGCAACCTCTCCTTTTGTGATATCTGCTACTCTACTGTCTTTGCTCCTAAGATGCTAGTCAATTTCCTAACAAAACATAAGTCCAGTACATTTTCTGGCTGCATTCTACAGAGTTTCTCTTTTGCAGTATATGTAACCACAGAGGGCATTCTCCTCTCCATGATGGCTTATGACCGTTATGTGGCAATAGCTAATCCCTTGTTGTATGGAGTCATTATGACCCAAAGAGTTTGTATACAGATGGTCCTTGCATCTTACTTAGGTGGGCTCATTAATTCCCTGACACACACAATAGGTTTGCTGAAATTAGACTTCTGTGGTCCTAATATTGTGAATAATTATTTCTGTGATGTTCCTCCTCTTCTGAGACTTTCTTGCTCTGATACCCACATCAATGAAATGCTGCTTTTGATCTTCTCTGGGCTCATTGCAATGTTCACTTTCATCGTCATTATGGTGTCTTATGTCCGCATCATCATTGCCGTCCAGAGAATCCATTCAGCTGAAGGAAGGTACAAAGCCTTCTCCACTTGTGCCTCACACCTGGCCACTGTGACCTTATTCTATGGGTCTGTGACTTTTAGTTACATCCAGCCAGGTGCTCAGTATTCCCTGGAACAGGAGAAGGTCTCGGCTGTGTTTTATACATTGGTGATCCCCATGCTAAACCCACTTATTTATAGCCTGAGAAATAAGGATGTAAAAGATGCAGCAAAGAGGTTGATATGTTGGAAGAGAAACCCCACTGAATGTGGCTTTGTTAACCTAATATTTACATGCAAATATATGGCCTGTCTTTAAAATTATATCAAATAATTACAAATCAAACTATGCTTAAGACACTCTTGTGCAATTTGGATCAGGAATTATGAGTTTGACTTAAAGACTGAATTATTATTTGGCTGAGAGTTGATGACATGCTATTTCACAATTTATTGTGTTGATGATTTAATAATTTTGTTATTTCAAAAGATGAGAAAAGTTTTTTTCTAACAAATATTCATGCTAAACTCTGAAAGAGGATTTAAAGAAGGTGGCATTGATTCAAATCAAAGTAATACTCTATCAATAGATGTTTATCAATGTGTCTCAGATAAAAATTTTCTGATAAAAATTCAAATGTTCCTGTGGCACAACTTTCTTAGATTATACTATTATGTCTTATCCTAAAAGAGCTATCATACGATTAAAAATGAATATCTTCCATTTTGTATTTAATTTTCATTTCTTAATAAGATCTAATAAAAAATGGCTATAGGAAATGAGTTCTTTTCTATAGTCATTTATTATTGTTAACAGTTTACCATAAACTATGGTATTTATAGTTTACTCTTATTATTATTTGTGGTTTACTCATTCAACACATTTCTACTGTGCCAGTCACTTTGTATGTGTGATATAAACCTAAAAACATTTAAACTATAAACAAAAAGCTGTTAGAGGAAAGAAAAATGGGTAAATCTGGTAAAAGGGAGATTACTTAAAGATGAAAAACTATACAAGTTTGGCTCTAGCATGGAATTTTAAAGCAAAAGCAATAGACAATAAAGTTGGCAAATTATATAGAACCAGATGTATGAAAGAGAAAAGAGTTCACAATGACACAGGTTTTGAACTTGTGTCACTAATATTTTAAAATTTTTAGGAGATAAAATAAAGTAATAATCTAAGTGCCATTCAAATTTCTAACTGAAGAACTTTCTGGAAAGAGGGTATAGCCAAGAACAAATCCCAGGAAGTATGAACTATCATGGATTGCTTGTAAAACAGCAAAAATTCAGAACTGGAGTAAACAGAGGAAGGAGAAAAAAGTTAAAATAGTAGAACGGATCATGTGGGATATAGTATGTGTAGGGACTTTGAATCAGAGCAAAGACAAAGGCAACTGACCCAACTTATATAGTACAATGGTCACTCAGGTTATTGTATTAAATAATAAATAGGCTATAGAATGGCAGGCAAGAATGTACGACACAAGCCCAGGCAGGAGGCTGCATAATACTTTGGCTGAGAGTTGACGACATGCTAGACAAGAGCTGTCACAGTAAAACTCGGGAAAAACACAAATACAGTATATATTTTAATGCTAGACCTGGCAAAAGAATGAATGAAAGAGAAGACCTAAAGATAACTCTGAAATTTTTTCAACAGACAAGCAGACACAAGAGAATAACAACATCCAGATTGTACAAAATATGTATTCTTTTCAAGCACATAAATAGTATTTACAAAGCTGAGCAACTTGAGTATACAATGGGATGAAGAAAAAGTCTCAAAACACATCAGAGGATGGTGTGTACATATTCTACAACTGTGGGCAAGATACTTTAAGTTCCTACACCTAATTTTTCACCTAGAGAAAGAAATAGTCATATAACTGCAAAATTTTGTAGATAGAAGTATAGGTTGGATGAATAGCTAGACTGAGAGACAGAGGACTTTTATTTTAACTTGTATTTTAAGTTCAGGGCATATGCAGGCTTGTTACATAGGTGAACTTGTGTCATGGTGGTTTGCTGTAAAAATTATTTCATCACCCAGGTATTAAGCCTAGTACCCATCAGTTATTTTTCCTAATCTTCTCTCTCTTCCCACCCTTCACCTTCTGATAGGCCCCTGTGTGGGTTTTTCCTTTCTATGTGTCCATGTGTACTAAGATAGATAGAGTTTAATGTGATTTTAGAATATATTAGTGAAAATCCACAAGGTCAGAAAAATATGAATAGATGCATTATTATGTCAAGTTCAAGGAACTTATACATTTATATAAAACAAGAATCAAAAGTTGCAGAATACAATTAAGCAGTGCAGCACACTGAGCAGAGCTTGCAAACTACTGTGAGAAGATTGAGGTGTCAGCTTATATATATTTTAACTTTGGGGAAACATAAATACATACTTTACATTAGAAAATAGTATATCATTATGTAAAATCAATACATGTTTATGTGTATGTATACATTTATTGGGATTGAAGTTGAGAGAAAAGTTGAGAGACCAATGAAACAAATGCAGCTATACAACCGGCACTTGTAGTTAAGCAGTACATGACTGATTGTTTATTCTTGCAAACTTGTATTACTTTTGAATTGCTTCTGTAGATTTGAAATGTTTCAAAATAAAAAGTTAGAAAAACATGGAGGAAAAGTGCTTGCAAAATGACAAGAACACCTTTACTTCTGGATGAATGAAGTTGTTTGTGGGCAAAATGGCATTTCTGCAAAAATAAAATCAAGGTAAGAAATAACCTCTTGAGAAAGAATAAATAACTATTAAGGAGAACTAGAGTAGCTTTGGATTCAGAGAGATGTAAACTTGGAAAGCAAGACGATTTTTATTGCCCTAATTCAGGGCATACTTGAATATTCAGAGTTGGTAGACACTTCGTAGGTTCCACCCTACATGGTTGTATTTCCTCTCAGGACATTAGTCAAATTCTGGGTCTGAACAGGTCTGAAGGATGTTTTCATAGTCAAATGATAGATGAAAAGAGAGTGAGAGCCTGAGAGAAGGGGAGGAAGAGCATGGATAGATGAATAAATGAATGAATGAATGAGAAAGAAACAGAGAATGATAGAAGACAGACTTAAGTGAAGAACTTCTCAAAAGTGGAGATCTTTTTGTGATGTCCCAAACAATACAAATAATGAAGATTGTGACCAATCAAAGGAACTTACTCTGGACACATTCTGTGTGACTGTTCGGCTGGAAAGAGGAAATAGTGGAGTGGAGCTTTAGGCAGTTACAGAAACTGGGGAGAGAAATACGATTATATAGGAGCTCAAACGCAAAGCTGGTTTTCTCCACAAGAATTTGGGGTGAAGAAGTGTAAGAAGCTGGTCTTGGGCTACAAAGGTTGACTGAAATCTCCTGTCCTGTGTTCTTGCTGGGCTTAGAAAACAAAGATTTGCCAGAGGGAAGGGTCAGTAAGAAATGTATTGTAGGTGTCCCCCTCCAAACGCTTACCAGGTTCTGATCCTGTTGATTGTAGGAAAGAGACTTCAAATTTCCTTTGAAAAGCACAAGGACACCCCTGAAAGTTCAGACTAACTGGAGAGTCAGAATGAAATCTTTCTCAGTGTTTGGGGCTTGGTTGATAATGTCCTGTCAGATGTAGAGGCCCGCATCAAACATAAGGCCAGCAGTCTTTTAAGGATATTGACTGCCATTTGAAGATGTACAGAAAAGGGAGCTGAGTTCACATCTCCAAAGAGTTAAAATTTAATCTCCTGCAGTGGTTAAAGGGCTATATGTGGTGAGAGAGACAGAGAACAAGAGACCCAGTTTCTTTTTTTTTTTTCTTATTTTTTTATTGCATTTTAGGTTTTGGGGTACATGTGCAGAGCATGCAATACAGTTGCATAGGTACACACATGGCAGTGTGTTCTGTTTGCTTTCACCCCTTCACCCACATTTGGCGTTTCTCCCCAGGCTATCCCTCCCCACCTCCCCCTTCCACTAGCCCTCCCCTTTTCCCCCCAATAGACCCCAGTGTTTAGTACTCCCCTTTCTGTGTCCATGTGTTCTCATTTTTCATCACCCGCCTATGAGTGAGAATATGCGGTCTATGAGTGAGAATATGCGGTGTTTCATTTTCTGTTCTTGTGTCAGTTTGCTGAGAATGATGTTCTCCAGATTCATCCATGGCCCTACAAATGACACGAACTCATCATTTCTGAGAGTGAATCGGCAACCAACAGAATGGGAAAAAATTTTTGCAGTTTACCCATCTGACAAAGGGCTGATATCCAGAATTTACAAAGAACTCAAACAGATTTACAGGAAAAAAACAAACAAGCCCATTCAAAAGTGGGCAAAGGATATGAACAGACACTTTACAAAAGAAGACATATATGAGGACAACAATCATATGAAAAAATGCTCATCGTCACTGGTTATCAGAGAGATGCAAATCAAAACCACATTGAGATACCATCTCACGCCAGTTAGAATGGCGATCATTAAAAAATCTGGAGACAACAGATGCTGGAGAGGATGTGGAGAAAAAGGAACACTTTTACACTGTTGGTGGGAGTGTAATTAGTCCAACCATTGTGGAAGACAGTGTGGTGATTCCTCAAGGCCTTAGAAATAGAAATTCCATTTGACCCAGCAATCCCATTACTGGGTATATACCCAAAAGACTATAAATCATTCTACTATAAGGATACATGCACACGAATGTTTATTGCAGCACTGTTTACAATAGCAAAGACCTGGAATCAACCCAAATGCCCATTGATGATAGACTGGATTGGGAAAATGAGACCAGTTTCTTAATTAAAACCTAGGGATGTTCACAGCCCAGAAACAGTGATGAGCAGGAAGAAGAAAATGAGGTCTATCTACAAACCAAGCCAATAATAACTCAGTTAATAATTGAATTAATATAATCAGCACCTCATCCTTTCTGCCTGCAAGAGAAAGGAAAACCCTTCCCTGTGGAAACTGATGTCCTTTTTAGTTACTATGATCCATTTATTCATATGCAAAGAGTCAGAAAGTATAATCAATAGTAAAAAAGAAATCACAAAATAAAACAGGCCCATAGCAAGTCTGCATGTTGGAGTTAGAAAAATACTTCAAAAATGTGATCAATAGATGAAAAAATAATTTAAAAGTTAGAAAAATCATTTAAGATAAAATATTTTAAGATAAATTTAAATGAATAAAACAGAAAAAAATTGGATTTCTGAACACCCATGAACTCTGAAAATAAAACAAGAGTTGAAGAAAATTTAAGAACATATCAGACAAAGCAGAAGGTAGGATTGGTAAACTCAAACACATCAATATAAATTGTCTAAACTAAAGCACAGAGAGAGGAAAAAAATAGGAATACAAATCAGATCATAGGATACTTGTGGAACCCAATCGAATGGTATAAAAGATAATGTAGTAAAAATTCCAGAAAAAAGAGGAGAGGAGAGCATAAATATCTTAAGGTATAGTGACTAAAACTTTTCTAAAACTGATGGGTGCTCAACAAACAGATCCAAGGTTACAAGATCCCAAGCCAAAAAATGCGGAGAAACTCACACACAGGCACAGCATGGTCAAAGGAACAACAGTAAGAATTATGACAAACTATTTAAAGAAGCTATAAAAGCGGGGAAAATGGAATGATATAGTTAAAGTATATTTAAAAAGTAAATATTTAAAGTTCTCTTCCTAGAAA